CAAAGAGAACACTGTTCGAGATAGGGAAAGACTTATAGGTTGAGATCAACTAGAATTCTTCTACCAAGGAAGAGTAGAATCAGAATTCTAGTTAATCTTTATTTACTAACTCTATAAATATCAGTGTTATTCTCTTTTACAGGTAATGCACAAACGCAGAAGTTAAACGTGAATTGAGAGCAAAATAGCAATATTTTTTGCAAGCAGTTCGTGTGTGATTAAAGTGTGAAACCTGAAACTACATGAACCAGATAGAAGAACCAGTTCCAAGTGTCTGTCTTTTATTCTAGTTCAATTATAGTAGGTGGTTTCATATTGTACCTTTCAGCTTTATCTAGAGGCAATTGTAATAGGTACTCAGAGTATTCAAATTAGAGTTAACTTGAAGTTGTCACAACAGTTAGAGGTTGTGTGCTACAACGGGATTAGAGTTAATCCTAGGTTTATAAAAGTATTTTGTAAATGCAGTTTTTGGCTCAGTGATTTTAGTGGAGAGTTTGAAAAAATCATACTGGAAAGTAGGTCGTGGTTTTTTCACCTTTTGAGCCAGGTGTTTTCCACGTAAAATACTTGTGTTCTTTACTTTTCACATTTACTATTTCTGTAATAGTAAGTTAAGAAACACTTAAAAGAACCAGGTCCTTCTATAATCAGTTTAAGCGAAAAATTGGACACTACACAAATCACCCCTATATGATATTAAAGTTAAAACATCAGCTCCTAATTGAATGAGAAATCTTTAGACATTTAGAGAGTTAGAACCTAACCCATTAGAAATTTGATATAATATCTGTAAAAAAAAAAAAAAAAAAAAAACATCGTGTCTGTTATCTACACACTAAAACAGTATAAAAATAATGAACTTGAAAATAAACCTATATGGTGAAAGACTGTTTCGCCGTCAAAAGAAAACAATACAAAGAACTGTGTAAAAAAAAATTTGTTAGGCAAGATGTCATCACATAGCATATTTACGAAATATAAGTACATAATAATATTATCTAATTAAGACGACTAAATTGATCATTGTTGCAAGTTCATATGTGTGTCTAATCAATTTTAGTTCATGTATTATGCTAATATAACAATATTTTCAGCATTATAATAATTATCGCATTTGGCGTCCCTTCCTTTAAACACTTGACTAAAACATCACGTCTCATTACTTACGTGCAACACACGTTCGTAGAAACTAATTATTATAAAAGCATGAATACAATATTGGTTTACAAAAATAACCTTATAATATTAAGTATAATAACTCATAATAAAAGGTCATAACCGGAATCCTATAAGTATAATTAGTTTCGGGTTGTCTAATTCGTATAAAATTGAGCAAATAAATATCTTTAATCATGTAATTCTATTACTATTAGGATATACTTTTTAAAAATTTTATTATTAATTTAATTTGAAGATGTATTATAATATTCTATTATTAATTTAAATATAGGTATTTTAAAATTTTTTATTACTAATAAAATTTACTCACTGATCAAATAAAAGGTAAACCTTGTCTATCTATGCAAAAGATTCTATGAACGGTAAGAGGGTGCATAATAACTCATAATAAAAGAACATAACTGAAATTCTAGATATTAGAATTATATAGAAGTTTTGACAATAACGTCTTACATGCAAAAATTATGATATTAGTCAATGTGCTTCTAAGTATATTCTTATCCCTAAATTTAACATTCGTCATTCGAAACTAAGGAATATCTGATTTAATTTGTGTGAAAATAATTTTAGTATGTTTTTATTTTGCAAATATAATAAATAAAGCACAAGGACAAACATACTAAATATTGGACTATATTTACTGTAGTATTTTTTCTTGCACGAACAACTGTATGTTGCACTTTCAAGAGGGATATCAAGATTGACAACAAGAGTTCTGATTAAGGCAGAGCAACCAAAACATTAGGAGGAAACATACACAAAAAAGTATTATCCACAAAGAAAGGTTCGTTAAGATACCATCATATTAAATACTTTTAAACTATTATACATAATTATCTAACTAACATGACAAAATTGATCATTTGTGTAAGTTTTGATGATGTTCTTTTATTTTAAATACATGTATTATGTTAATGTAATAATATTTTTCGGTATTTAGATCATTATTGTATTATTATACATAAAAAATTTCTTATTAATTAAATTTTATTATTTCTTCATATAAATAAATATTTAAATCATCGTGTGTTATTATTAACGTGGATATATTTGTATGTATAGGCCCTCAAAGTCATGACTTTGTTAGGGTTCTTAGTTTTTCTTTAAGGAGTTAAAATGCTTCCACACGTTCAGTAAAAAGTGCAATCATTTTCAACCGAGCCCTTATGTTCAAAGATTGTGACTTGACATGACTTCTACCTGGAAATTGAGATGCATCTAACTAAATATAAAGGTATATTGGTCCTTCCTTGATTTTTACATGTAAAAGTTATGTCAAATTAATTAACCATGTGTGCTTTTCTTAAGATCAAACATAGCTCCCAAATACCTAGTAGTCTATTTTTCTCTTAGACCAAACCGATTCCTACGAACCTTATCCAACTTTATGGCGGCTGTTTAATTTGATTCACAATATAAACCTAAAATATGAAACAAAAAGTTCTTTATCCGTTATCCATTCGAATTGTAATAGTATCAACCTAAAGTTTTGACCCCCATTTAATTTTTTTCAGAAAAAAAAAGAAAAGAAAAGGATAGGAAAGCTAAAAAGAACATTCTTATATAACACAACAACAACAACAATAACATACCCAGTAAAATTTTACTAGTGGGGTCTGGGGAGGATAGAATGTACGCAGACCTTACCCCTATCCCGGAAAGGTAGAGAGGCTGTTTCCAGGAGACTCTCGGCTCAACAGAAGAGATAATAATTTCAGAAAAGAAACGAAAGAAGAGATCTGTAACAACAAAACAAGCAAGAGAGGTAATAATAATATCTTAAAATATACCAAATAAGTGAAAGGGATTGCAATAATACAATCATATGCAAAACAACAATATAGTGTGAACACAACAAAGACCGCTACCAGACATAGGCAAAACTCTATCAGACTACCCGGTAGAAAGAGGGAAAAACTATGAACTACCCCCTAGCCTACAACCCTAATGCTCGACCTTCACACGTTCCTATCAAGAGCCATGTCCTCAGAAATCTGGAGTCGCGTCATGTCTTACCTGATCACCTCGCCCCAATTCTTCTTAGACCGCCCTCTACCTCTTCTCGTACCTGCCAAAGCCAACCGCTCGCACCTTCTAACCGGGGAATCTATGGTTCTCCTCCGCCCTATTAATATGATACTTGCAATAATGAGAATCTTGGCATCAAATTTAGAAACGTAGGAGATACATTGTACTAATGGAAATTTTTCTTCTAAATCCGACTTCACACGTTAGTGCTTTGGAGTTACATATAACGTTGGAAGTCTTAGTCTCGGGTTCGAACCCTAATATGAAATCGACTATGCAAGGGAACACTTTATCTTTTATTGTGAGATTTTCCCACGTAAATTCGGATTTAGTTGGACACCAATATGAATATTTGGTGGGAAATACAAAAACGTTGGAAGTTTCACCACAAATTGATAACCAAAAGAATAAGTTGCACTTTTTTACGAAAAATAAAAATTGGTTGAAGTTGCAACCTTTTCCCCCTCATCTTTTGGATTCTTTTAAAGTCTCTCCTGGCCATAGGTTAGGCACTTGAAGTCCACTTTGTTCGGATTCCGACTTTTTTACAAGGAGTAAATGCTTCAACATGTTTAATATGGAAAATGCAATGATTTTCAATTTCCGAAACTTATGTTCAAAGATTATTATGACATGGCAATATTTCCTGGAAAATAAATGATATTTTTTTTAACAGAATGGTGAACTGGTCCTTCCTACATTTTTACATGTAGAAGTTATGTCCGTATACCATCAGAGGCGTATCCAAGATAAGAAGATTATATTTTCCCACGTATGACTTTAAATTAATATACAATATATAATAACTTGATTATAATCAAATTTTATAAATATTTAGTGAATATTTTAATATGTATATAGAGTCTGTAATTTTTCTTTATTGAATTCTTCCGTTATTGTTTACAATGTGGAGCTTTGCTGAAGCTCAACTATACCTCCCAAATACCTACTAAGCTATGTTCCTCATAGACCAAAGTTTTTTAATATCTATTCGAAGTTGTAATAGTATCAACCTAAACTTTTTTGACCCTATCCACTTTACTCACTTTGTATTCCAATCGTAATTAAATCCTTGCATGCATGTGTTAGAGCCTCACTTAGTCACTTATTACTGCTAATTTTTGTACCCAAGATTAAAAGAGCTAGATATTTCTTTCTCAATTATTTACACCCTGCCTTGTCAAATTGTGCTAATCAAGCATACATCTACACGATTCTCATATGCACCATGAACGTATATTAGTTTGGACTGAACTCGGAGAGAAGAAGATCGAATCTCATTTTCTGTTAATACACAATAATAACCGACTTAGCCTAATATATACTAAGTAGTTATCACTTTAGTACACCTCTAAGTTTCTTCTAGTTACACTTTAGTCCTACTAACAAATTAGTAACTAACTTCTCATCTGCATACTCCCCCTCAAGCTGGAGGGTGAAATACATTGAACACTCTCAGCTTGGATATCAAAGTTTTGTGTTGCTCAACTACCAGTCATGTGGTCATCACATCTGCGAGCTGCTCTTTAGTGGAAATATATTAAGGTGTAATCAATCTTTCCTTAATCTTTTCTCATAAAACGATAGCCAATTTCTATTTGTTCTCTCATGATAGACTGGGTTGGTTGCTATCTACATAGCTGCTTTACTGTCACAATACATTATTAATGGTTCCTTCATTGCTAAGCCCAGCTCTTTCAGCAATCCTACCAGCCATACTAACTCTAAAGTTACTAACTTACTGTTGCTATGCTCATATACTCTGCCTCAGCAGAGCTCCTACTTACAGTTTATTGTTTCTTGAATTTCCACGAGATCAAAGAGTTTCCTAGTTTTATCACATATCCAGTCACAGATCTCCTTGTGTTTGGACAAGTAGCCCAGTCTGAATCACAATAGGCTGTGACTTTCTCCAGTGACCCTTTCTTCAATAATATTCCCATCCCTGGTGAACCTTTAATGTATCTCACAACTCTCAATGCAGCATCGAAATGTGATTGCTTTGGATGTTGCAAGAATTGACTTAGAACTTGAATTGCAAAACATATGTCTGGCCTAGTAATAGCGAGGTAAATAAGTTTTTCTATTAGTTTCTGATAGCTGACAATGTGTTATAACTCCTCATCTCCTGTAATCCCTGCATGTTTATCATATTCAAACTGTTGTCAATTTTTTGGTTTTGTTCTAATGGTGAGCTAGCTGGCTTAGCCCCACTTAATCCAACCTATAAAATTAGTTGAAGAGCGTACTTTCTTTGATTAAGTATAACTCATGTGAGTGGCTTCATGAGCTCAATTCCTAGAAAGTATCTGAGTTTACCTAGATCTTTTAGCTTGAAGTGCTTATGTAGAGTTGTTGTTGCTTCTTCTACCAATGTGTTGTTGCTTTTAGTAATCAACAGATCATCTACATGTATAAGGATGATCACCAGTTCTACACCTACCTTCTTTGTAAATAAGGAATGGTCATAGGCACTTTGAGAGTACCCTGCACTAGTCAATGCATCAGTCAGCTTATGTTCCATTTCCTCGATGCATGTTTAAGGTCATACAGGAACTTAAGGAGTCTGCAAACTTTATACTCCCCCGCCTATGGATTCCCTGAGGTAAGTTGACGTATACCTCCTTATAAAGATCACCTTATAGAAAGGCATTGTACACATCCATTTGAGGCAAATTCCACCCTTTAGAGATTGCTAGGCTTATCATTGTTCTTTTGCCTCCCTTTGGAGACAGCTAGTCTTATCATTGTTCTAACTATTACCATCTTGGCAACAAGTAAAAAGTTTCATGATAATCCATACCCTCTTGTTGTATATATCCTTTGGAAACTAGCATGGATTTGAATCTGTCCACTTCCTTATTGGCTTTGTGTTCGATCTTATACACCCACTTTGAGCCAATGGTTTGCTTTCCTAGTGGTAGATCGATTACATGTCTTATTTTCTTCAAGTGCCTGAATCTTTTGCTTCATTACTTCTATTCATCTGTCATCTTGATAAGCTTCTTGAAAAGATCTTGGTTCTACTTGAGCTGAGAATAACTCAAGGTAGCATTGGTAGTGTTCTGACAAGCGAGCATAACTCACATAATTGGAAACTGGATAGGTGCTGGTTCCTTTTGATTTACATAAAGTCACATAATACTAAAGCCACACTGTTGGCTTTGTTGTTCTTGTTGACCTCCTACTCTCAGGAAGTACAGGTTGTGGTGCAACTGGTGCCATTGGTTCAAGTGTTGTCTCTCCATGTTCATGTTGTTGTGTAGGGCCTTGTTGTTGTGTATAATCTTGGGTTACTCTTCTCTCCTGAACCAAGTTCCTCTATGTCATTGACTACCTCATCTAGTGTCCATATCTAGTTCTTCAGGATTGCTAGAATCATCTACTACAGTGTTGTGCATTTGATCATCTACAGTCTGCTGAGAAGTTGTCCCCAGATCATTGTCTGCTGCTGAAATAGGCTGATGTCTAGAAATTATTATGTAGTCCATATCAGGAAGGAACAAATTCTCAGGTTCACTAGGTAGAACCTTGAAAGGAAAAATGTCTTCCCCAAACTCACATCTCTACTTACAAAAAATCTACTGGATTCCAAATCATATGGTCTATATCCCTTCTGCACCTCTGAATATCCAATGAATACTGATTTCTTTGCCCTAACTGCAAATTTATCTCCCCTTGGCAGTGTGCTGACATAACAAAGCACCCAAACACCCTCAGATGGTCCACTTTGGGTGGTTCCCATAGAGTTTTTCATATGGAGACTTTCCATTTAGCGCACCTGTAGATAGTTTGTTGATCAAATACACTGCAGTTTTGATATAGTCCCTCCAAAATCTAGTAGGTATATTGCTTTGGAATTTTAATGCTTTTGCCACCTCTAATTTGTGTCTATGTTTCCTCTCTACTACTCCATTTTGCTGTAGAATATAGGGGAAACTACTTTGGTGTACTATTCCCAAGGATGACATTATCTCATTGTAGTTTTTATTGAAAATTTTTGTACCATTGTCAGATCTTAGCACTTTAACTGTAGTATTAAACTGATTCTTTACAAGAGAAAAGCAATTCTTCAAGAGTACTATTACTTTACATTTAAATTGTAGCAAGCAGATCCAAGTAAACCTACTATAGTCATATACTATGGTAACAAAGTAATACCTCTTGTCACGTAGCTACTTTGTATGGTCCCCAGACATCTATCTGCACAAGTTGGAAAATACAATTAGATTGATGACTACTAATAGGAAACTTCAGTCTGCTTTGTATGGCTAATGGACAAATCTCACAGTTCTTTTGTACTTCTTGATTCATTTTGTTCTTCAAATCCGTCAAGCATTGTAATGAGCCCATGGATGCATGTCCCATCCTATCCTATGATGCCACAATGTTGTATTTATTTCCTCCTTCTTGACTGATCCAGCTACTATTGCCTCCTCTTCACCTCTAATTATGTGCAATCCTTCATCTTCTCTACCAATCCCCAGCACCCTGCCATTGTAAAGCCCTTGAAACACATAGAAACCAGGGTAGAAACATGCTAAACAATGCAAATCTCTAGTCAGCTTGGATACTGAAATGAGATTGAACTTAAAGTCAGGCATATGTAAAACATTCATAATCTTTTGCCCTCCTAGTATTGTTGTATCTCATGTGTGTACTATCTCTTATTTTCCTCATATAGGTATTTGAACTCTATTACTGTTTCCTCTATTAACTCCTCTTAATTTTTCTAAAACTTCCTTGCAAAAAGTAATATGATGTGATGCTCCCGAATCCACTATCCAATCATATGATGGGGCATTGAATAATAGTGATGGTATACCTGTCATGTTTGTTGAACCTACTATGTTGTTAGAACTCCCTTCCATTGATGATTTTATCAACAAACTCACTAGATTCGTGTACTGATCCTCAGTCATATAGTTCCCATGTGACTGATTGCTCGTTGTAACCTCTTTTTCCACATTGACATTGTTAGCATAAGACTTGGTAGGGAATTGACCCTTTTTCTTACTTTTGAAGTCTGATGGGTACCCAATGATCTTGTAGTATTTTTCCCCCCTTTGACATTGTTAGTATAAGAATTTGTAGGGAATTAACTCACTAGATGCTTGTACTGATCCTCAGTCATATAGTTCCCTTGTTGTTGATTACTCGTTGTAACCTCTTTTTCCCCATTGACATTGTTAGCATAGGACTTGGTAGGGATTGACCCTTCTTCTTACTTTTAAAGTCTGCTGGGTACCCAATGATCTTGTAGCAGTTTTCTTTCAAATACCCTTTGTACCTACAGTGCTCACGGATGAGTCCTGGCTTCTTCCCCTTCAGAAACTGATTTCCTTTTCCTGCTAACATAGTCATTGGCTCTTTATTTGTGTCAACCACTCCTTATTACCTTTGGCTCTCCTCCTGTACTATATCTATATAAGCTTGATTCACAGTAAGGACTTTCCTTTTCAGCAACACTGCATTTCTCACATGACTGTAACTCTCATTCAGCCTCATTAAAAATTGTAGTAATCTTTGTCTCGCTAAATGATCTATGTATGGGCGTGATTCTTCACAATCACATGAGGATAGTGGTGCTAGGATGTCTAATTCATTCCATAAGTCTTTCAATTTTGAGAAATAGGAGGTCATAGATTTTGTACCTTGCCTTAGGGTTGCAATGTCAGTAGATATCTGATAAATTCTGGTCAGGTCATCTTTGTCAAACCTTTCCTTGAACTCGTCCCAAATTTTCCTTGCACTTGAGGCATCCATGATGCTTGATACCAACTCCGCTACCACAGTGCTACTAAGCCATGAGACCACTACTACATTATACATTTCCTATTGCGCCACTAGTTCTCCTCGGTACAAGCCTTTAAGGCGAGTTCCATCCACAAATCCTAACTTGTTCTTCACTAGGAGAGATACTTTCATAGGTCTACTCTACATGGCATAATTTTCTGGCCCTGTGAGTTTGAGAGCTATTAGAGTTGTTCCCGGCGAATCTAAATCCTTAAGGTATAGTGGATGATTGTGAGGAAGTTGTCCAATTTCACTTTCCGCCATTGTTGAACCTTTGCGATCTACGAACTCAGTTGAATTCTTAAATTGAAGGTGAAGAACAACTCGAATCCATCGATTGAAGCTCTAATACCATGTGAAATTGTGCTAATCAAGCATAGATCCCCTAAGTTTGGACCATGAACAATTCTCACATGCACCATGAACGTATATTAGTTTGGACTGAACTCAGAGAGTAGAAGAAGAGATAATCTCATTTTCTGTTAATACACAGTAATAGCCGACTTAGCCTAATATATACTAAGTAGTTATCTACTAAGTAGTTATTACTTTAGTACACCCCTAAATTTCTTTTAATTATACTTTAGTCCTACTAACAGATTAATAACTAACTTCTCATCTGCATATGCCTATAAGTTCATATATATTTCCTCTACTTAATCATCAGTGTGGAAGTCCATATTTGACATCTCAAAATTAATATATCATTTATTTTCTTCCTCTTTAGTATCAACACTATAAATAAACAAGGAAAATGCACTACTTTGGGCGATGTTTGACATAATATATTGTTGATCTTCTTATTTTTGCCGTTGAGGGAATGTTGGGCAAGTTGTAATTTAAAATAGTATATATAATTGAGGATACAATACGGTATGGACATTGAGTTTCAATATATATATATATA